ACTGTGAAAGCTTCATAAACACCGCGGCCCACGGTACGCTGCGGCTCTCCGCGTGGGGATCACGGCTGCCGCCACATGGGTTTGAGTCTTTTAATCCCTTCCAAGAAGGTAACAAAAATTGTATTTGAAGGCTTTCCTCAAACACGAAAAAGCAGACGAGCAAAGGAACAAGGGCTGTTTTTACACAGAGTGCTAAGGTCAGGAAGCTTAAAAACGTCTAAACCCTTTTCCAAAAGAGAAAACTTGATGCCTTAACAGAGTGATGCCTTTGTTGGTGGCAACTAAATGTGGACACATCATACGGATCCCCTTCTACTCTGGTCTAGGACACTTGTGTAAGTCAAACCATAAACGTACACCGCTCCTTCAAAGGCTGTCCAACAGATACGCTTCCCACGTACTTGCAAGCTCGTGTTACACTGAAAGCCAGTGTGAAGATCAAGGGAACCTCACAGCTTCACCCGTGTATTTCAGCATCTGAAACCCTTCACAGGTGTCCTGAAAGAGGAAAAGGTCACGACCTACAGGTCAAGTCAATGATCATTAGGTGTCACTGGAACAGAAGGGATCTAAATAACCTCTGTAGCTACATATGGCGCAGGATTAAATGCACATATTACTTACAGTGATTTTTCATCTCACAAAATGAATTCTGAGCAGCATGAAAACTAGAATTGTTCAAAACTATATGTTGTAAAACCTGTCTCTCAGGGATCTTGTCTCAAGTTTAAACTGAGGTCTCCTGAAGAACTGTGAATAAAACCAAACTGAACCAGGTAACAAATAAAAGGGGGAAAAATACACACTAGAGTCAATGCAGCCAAACGCACACAAAGCCTGCCACCTCCTACAAGAAATAATTTTTGCCACTGATTTGCCCACTAACCACATAACTGTCCTAAACACAAAAACACTTGAGATTTTTTTTTTCTTGCCCAGAAGTGGTTTCTGAAAAAGGATAAATGCAGTTTGACATACATAATTTAGTTTGCAACCAACCACGAAAGGGAGAAGCTTGGCAGGGTGGGGGTGGGGGTGGGAGGAGGAGTAGGCATGTGTGTGTGTGTGTGTGTGTGTGTGTGTGTGTGTGTGTGTGTGTGTGTATATCTCCATGCTGTAACAATCTGATCAAACGCCATTAAAACAGCTGAATCCTTCTGAAACCCTCAAAAGGCTCCACAGTCTGCTGCAAAGTTAAAGGTTCTTTTTCTCCTCCTCCCACTTAACTGACCTTACCCCATCATCACCTCAACGTTCTATTTCACCTTACGTTCCTAAGCGCAAAGGTGCTCGGCAAATGAAAACTCGGTAACACCCTGACTTCTAACTCTGGCTGCAGTCCTTCTGCAGAGACTCCTCAGGCTGCAGAGGGCTGTCGCCTTCATAATAAACAAGGTTACGCTGCAATGTCAACAGAACACTTTGGGGTCAGTGCAGCGATCCGTCAGTCAAGCTTCCAGATTTCTCTCACAGTGGACAGGGCCGCATTTCTCAGAGGGGAATCAAGTTTTGTTCCACTCATCACTACCACCAAACAGCACAGCACAGGAGGAACTCGGTGGTGCTCATTACCAAAGACAGAAGAAACCGGGTGTAACTGCCAATGGGCTGACATTAGCAGGAACCTCTGGTGAAGAGACTTAGCTCAATTATAAACGCAAAGTCACTAGGGATTTTTAATTATTAAAGAGTAAACCATATGCTAGAGTAACAGAAGACAACTCCGTAATCAAGAATGGCAGGAAATGGTAGTTCTTAATCTGTTTCTATTCTTTGACACTCTGAAGACCTTTTCCTTCCAGAAAAAGTTATATGCAAACTAACAATAAATTGGTAACAATGATGTAGCTAAACACACTCCCACTACCAAATTCCAGTGTTTACATAGCTACTTAGAAGATATATACGTATATCTATATGATACATATACAATATACATGTGAAGTTTTAGATGAATACCAGCTTTGCTCCGGACTTGTTTTGACAAACCACTTACTTTAAGTGTCGATTTCTTTAACCATAAAAAAAACGTCATTAATCAAAATAGACTTAGAAATGCCTATGAGAAATGAGAAACTATTATTTATAATGACAGTAATTCTCTTTGGTTTGATGGCTCTTACAGAAAGCACTCAGAAAAAAAGATGTGGCCAATGCTGGTGATAGGGGCAGGAGAAGTAAATACCCTGCTTTGTTTTTCTGTACCCCCCAAATAGCCAGTTTAGATATAATGAAACATGTACTGATCCAGGCCACCCATATGTATAAAGAAGTTGTACCAAAGCTTTTCAAATTTATAAATCTAGGACATTTCATAGATGTCAAAACTTTCAGACATTACAATATTCTACTATGAAAGCCTAAATAAATTTAAAAGGAAACAGAATATTGACTCTGTCCTCATCCTAAATCAAAACCATAGTAACAACTTGGTCTAAAAAAGTGAATGTCAAGACCTACAACCACATCAGAAGGTACAGCTTATGAAGGCATTTTCTAATTAAAAACAAAACACAACAGACATCTTTGCATTACGGAGATTAAGTACTAAGTATTACATATTTTAGCACCAAAAATAACAAAAGGATTTAAATACTATCCTAAGTTTAGAATTATAAAAATCTGACTTTTAAAAAGATCAACACAGATTCGCTTTTTCTATAAATGGTTCCAAGCAACACATACCATGATATTTTCCAAATGCTAAATGCTGTAGCTCCCTTTCAGAAGTGTCTTAAATCAGTCTTCTTGGAATGGCTATGGCCAACACTGAAGTTCAAGTTTTAAGTCAACACCCTCACTACTGTCGTATAGTGTATACTGTGATATGGAATCCACACTACACGACCTTCCAACCATTCTCTACCCCTTACTCTATGCCACCCAATCTCCATGCTGCTGCCAGATTAATCCCTCTCAAGTACAGGTCTAAATCATATCGCTTACTTGAAAAAAGAGAGAGAGAGAGAGAGAGAGAGAGAGAGAGAGAGAGAAGATGCTTCAGTATTTTTTCTCCTGATTAGCTAAAATCCCTAGCATTATTCTAGCATTCAGGACTCTCAAATATAGTCCTAAGCTTCTGCCTCACCCTACAGTCAAACCAAACTGCACTAGGCCATGTCTCCCATCGTATTTTGTCTTGGCTCATGTGGCTCGTCTTGCTTTCCTATTCCTTCCTTCACAGGCTCATCCAACTTCCCAGAAGCTCAGTAATGCTTTGGTGGATGCCCTCAGGTGCACAGTTTCCCCCTGTGGAAACCTCAAGGCTCCCGTCGGACGCAGTGGCCTGGTGTGAGAGCTGGAATGTAATGCTCTTCCGCCTACAGGTTCCAGGATAGTGGGGCCTGTCCTACTTACCCTTGTCATCTTGAAACCTGCCTCATGACTGGGAACTCAGATTCCTTCGAAAAATAAATGTCTAAGGAGATTACTGAGACCAGAGAAGCATCATATTAAAACGTCGGTTTATGGTTTATAGAAATATCATTAATATAAAAGTGTCCCATCCATAACAGATTATGTTCCAATTCACCATTTCAGTTCTTTGCCATCTTACAAGAAAAGAACATTAGGCCTCATATACATAGCATAATCTGTTTCAGAGAACGGATTTTTATCCATCCAGTTAATTTATTTTTGAAAGGAAGTTTCTGAGTCTTTAGAAGGTAAAGAAGATACCAGCTTTCAGGTTGCTATTAACTTGGTTGACCCTATCTTAAAGAACTCTAGAAGAGCAAACTGGTGAATGCATGAGTAAAGACACTGAGAAGGTGGGCAACTTGGGCCTGTGGAAGGAACACTGGGCGGCAGGAGCCCTGGGTTCTGCACGTGACGTGCAGCCCAGCTCATTCAACTTGTCTACGTCTGGTTCCTTCACTTGAGAAACAAGGGAATTGGATTTGCTGAACTCCAAGATCCAGTTCTAACATTCCACACTTCTAGAGGGATAACACATGACTTCCTGGGTAATTTCTAATGAGAAATGTGGCAGAAAACAGTAACTCCCTGCCATATTTAATCTCTCAATTTTGTGGGGGGAAAAAAAAAAAAAAGAAAACCAAAGAAGAAAAAAACTTCACAGATCAACCTAAAAAGGCCCACATGTTTCAGGGGTATTGCATTTTCAAAGAAATCTTCAAGTTAAAAAAAAAAAATTAAGACAAACCACCCACAAAAAAACAATCTATGAGGACTACGAAAAATAAATCTAAGAAAAACAAAAATATGCCCTCCAAAAGACCTCATATCACTCGTAACTGCTAAGTAACACTTTAAAAAAAAATGAATGTTCTGTTAGACATTTAAGATGCCTAACAGTTAAAAAAAACTGTCAGGCAGGCAGTAGGAAGGAGTGGCATAAAATATTTCCTTTCAAGTTGTTTCTGGATCGCTAGTCTAACAAAATAAACTCAGGTTCCAACTACAGGGAAACGAAATGTAAAAACTTCAGCGTCCCCAGCACAGTGAGAAGCCAGCACACCGGGATACGTGCTCCGTCCTGTTAGCCTAACTTAAACCCTCCAACAGATGTCGCTGCACGGGCTTTCATACAGGAGGATCCGTGTTCTTCCTCAGTCAACCTCACGACTTGATTAACGTGAAGCCTCTCAGGATAACTTTCCGGGTTTTTCTTTTGCCTTAAAGGCTTCAGACAGGCGGATTTGAATGTGAATCCTCAGTTTAGGGCCTCTCAGCTTCCAGTTTGGACTTCTGAGTTCAGAAGTGCCACCACGGTGCTGGTGGCTTGACTGTGTCAGTAACTAGGGGCTATCACACTCACCTGGAACAAAAGCACTTTACTAAAAGAGCTCTGCAGGTGTTTTCCTAAGATGCTGGAGGGAAGAGGAAATGTTTTCTAGAAAATACTAACAATTAATTGAAAATTGAACCTCTATTTCCCACCTCCCCACCCCAATCAAATTGAAAAAAACTATCAAAACACAGGACCTGGACTCTTCATTACATTATCGCTAACTCTGGATTCAGCTGATGAGTCTTACCTTCTGATGCCTTGATCACATATCCCCCTTTCTTCTCACCGGGAGGCACATTCAGGAGCTGCATAACTCTGTCAAGTAGCCCATGGATGATCTCAAATCCAGGATTCTTGTTGTAATAAACAGCACAGAGGTGCCTGTAGTTTCTTGCACCTACATCTGAAAAAATAAAAGAATTAGACACAAGGCCATGGTGACAATAACTTAAGAAACTCCTATGGGGCTAAAAAGCATCTTTATGAAATTTAGAGCTAAAGCAAATACTTAGAGTAAATTGGGGGGTGGGGTGGGGTGGGGAGACCGTAAGTTCAAAGAGTCAAAATTATATTGTTTAAAGCATATACAAGGACACCTGGGTGGCTCAGTCAGTTGAGCGTCCAATTCTTGATTTCGCTCAGGTCATGATCTCACGGTTTGTGAGTTCAAGCTCCACATCAGGCTCTACACTTTCAGTGCAGAGCCTGTTTGGGGTTCTCACTCTCTCCCCCTCTCTCTCTCTGCCCCTCCTCCACTTATGCTCTCGCTCTCTCTCAAAATAAATAAATAAACTTAAAAAAGTGTTTAAGAAAGCATATACATTGGTTGGAAAACTATGAAGCGATTGCTTCTCGGCCTTTTGGCTAAGATCAAGTGGAAAACTGAAGCGAAGAAGGGAGTAACTATCACAAAAGTTAGGACAGTGGTTGTTTTAAGTAAAGAGAAATGATAAGATGGGGAAGAGCCTTACAGGATGCTTGAGATACTGGCAATAAATATTCTATTTCTTAGTTTGGGTGGTTTATAATCTTTTCAAATCATATGTTACATAATATTCTTCACAATTAAAACATGAAAAAAAGCAATATAGGAAGACAAGAACAACACTGATGTAAATGTAAGCCAAAAAACTCTCCACACAGGAAACAGAATGAAGAGAAATATACCTAAATGCCAACAGAGATTCTATCTGGGCAGAGATCATGTTTTCCAAATTTCAGCTATTTTCCAACTGTTCCTTGATTATACATATTATTCTACTTTGAAAATCAGCATTTCCAAAATATTTTAAGAAAGATGTGCAGCAACCCAAATAAACCCTGACGGTGAGTGGATAAACAAAGTATGGTTCATCCATATAGTGGAATACTACTCAGCAATGAAAAGGAACAAACCATTAATAGATGTGACCACCTACATGAATCTCAAGGGCATTCTACTGAATGAAAGAAGCCAGTCTCAAAGGTCTACATACAAGGCCACTTATAGAACATTCTGGAAAAGGCAAAACTATAGCAACTGAGAACAGACAGTGATTGCCTGGGCTTAGATGTGGGGGAAAATGTAACTCCAATGGCACAATGTGGGGGGCTCTAGTGGCAACAGAGCTGTTTTGTGTCTTGTAGTCATGGTTACAAAGATATGAAACTTTATTAAAACTCCTTTTTAAAAAAAGTGCATGGCATATAGAGGTAAACTCAAATTCAACAGTGAGCATTTAACTTGAACAGATACATATTCACTTGTGGCCCTTTAATTCTGAAGGAGACTGCTGCTCTAACACAAACATCGAATGCTGACTTCATTTTGCTATTCAAATTAGGGACAGAGAAAAAATAAAACAATGTCTACCAGGGGGAAACCGAAAAATAATCTACTTTATATTCTCATGGAGTGAGCCAAAGTTCTTCCACAGATTTATTCCCACAGCCACGACTGACAAAATACAAAATGTCTTCTACCTTCCAGATATCCAAATAAAACCTGGGTATTTTAAGACACTATACGACTAAAGTAATATAAAAGTGAGCACATAAATGGGGTGAAAAGGAAAACTCACAACTGATTACTATGTGCCAGGTACTTATTAGTACCTATCATTCTTCTATAATCTTAATTTTCAAGACAGTCATGTACAGGGGGGTTTATTACCACTATAAAAGGGGACAGGAAAAGTCAGATGGAAAAACAAAGGCTCAGACAGATTTTACCCAAAATGTCAAGCAAACTGGCTGGAGCTAACTGTAATTAATTACATAGCTAATAAGCTATAAACCTAGGATATGACTGGGATGGTCTGGCTCTAAAACACAGGCTCTTTCAGGGTGCATGGGTGGCTCAGTCGATTAAGCATCCGACTTCAGTTCAGGTCATGATCTCGCAGTTTTTGAGTTCAGCCCCACACAGGGCTCTGTGCTGACAGCTCAGAGATTGGAGCCTGCTCCGGATTCTGTGTCTCCTCCTCTCTCTGCCCCTCCCCTGCTCATGCTCTCTGTCTCTCAATAATAAACGTTAAAATTTTTTTTTAAAACACAGGCTCTTTCTAGTAAACACTGCAAATGTTGAAGTCTCTGAAGGATTTAGAGATTTCTTAATCTCTGAAGCACTTAGATGAAAACAAATAACATACAAGCTTAATACCGTCAAAGATGTATGTTCTTAAAATGGTTTTAAGAGGACACGTTTTAGTATTCTCATGTGTTATTTGTCAGAAGTCCTTCAACTGAAGTTTCAAGCCATCAACAATATTGTAACTCATGGAAAGAAAGCGTATTCGAAGTGACACTTCTGACTAAATACAGTGAAGAAATGACCATTCTTGCCATGTAACACTTCTTAGTGCCCACTAGGTTCAAGGCACTCTAGTCTATGTATCCCTGGAGGGAGAAGGTCAAAGCCAGCACAGGGCCTGCACAGACTAAACCCTCAACAATTAATTTCTGAATAAATGAATAAAGCCCAGAAAGGGGACACACACACACACACACACACACACAGAGAACAGTTAAACGGGGCCAGGCCCAGACAGTGGGCCACATTCTAAGTCCGCACAGGAGCCAGCTGCTGGAGGAAAGGAGTTCTTCACTGTTGTCATTCTCTATCATTTCTATTTGTGAGAATAAAGGAATTTGGTATCTAAAAGCTATAATTGAAGGTGTAAGAATAAAAACTAGTATTAAGACCAGGCAGGCATAAAACCTCACTAAACCAACCACATGCATAAACTAAAATGAGGGGCTTGATTTCTCTGTCAGAACACACACACGCACACATACACCCGCATACTCCCTGAAGGGAAAACAATGCAATGAAACAGAACTAAATTATCCCTTTCATATTACTGACTTGCTCCTGGGTATCTCTGCCATGTGGTACCCATTTCTTAGTGTCACGTGCTTCCACTTTAACCCATAGACATGTATTCCAACTACTTTGTTGTTCCACTTTTGCTGGGAGAGAAGAGCCCAACAGTAATGCCAGCGTTCAGAGAGCTTAGCAACATAACCTGAAGCTTTGTTTTGGTAACCTCGGTGCCTTGGAATACCGCTTTCCTGATCTCCAAACCATGTAAAACTTAACTTTTCTGATAAGAGGAGCAACATCTGCTTTAAAGACTTCGAATTAAGAAAAAGCAGGTCGCGTGATTTTGATGATCAGAAGGATGAGCTTACAATAAAAATTACATGCCTTAAAATTATATTCTATTCAAGAAAGGTTTCAAGATGTTTGCATAACACACGTACACATACACACACAAATAAGCTATGTATTTTTAGATTCAATTTTGCAATATTTTTAAGAAAAGCCACAGATTTCTAGGGCCTTATACTAAACCCACTGTAAGAATTAAACTATTCAGATGGTCCCTCCAACTCCCGCCACTGACTGGCCTTTTCCTCCACATCTCCCCACTGCTACCACTCCCTCTGGACTTGCTTCCTCACATCTTGCTAAGATATTCCCTCTACTGTAGCCAAATTGAATTAAAGGAGGAAATGACCACATACTCGGTTCCACCCATTCCTCCCTGGAGAAACCGCCAGGTAGAGTAAAATTCCGTCTCCTAGTATTTTGCACCGAGGGACCCTCTTACATCACAGGAAGTTCCCTGACTACATGCCGCAAAATAAGAACTATTTAAATTTCATGCCAAAACAAGCGTTTGTTGGAAGTGCCTCAGTTCTTCATAACTCCATTAACAGACCTCTTGTGTTAGGCCATCAAACAATTCTGCTTCTTCAATGGGCCTGCCAAGTATGTCAGCCTAAATTACCAATGCATTTTGCAGACTTCAAAGTACTGCCTGGAGAGGCTGATCTAAACCACCCGAAAGAGGGAATGGCTGGCTACAATTCTAGAAGCTGAAAGAACATGCCAAATGATTTTTTTAAAAGGGGAGGAAAAAAAGTGGTACATGATGTCCCCCAGTAAAGAACTATTAGCTACAACTCAAATTATTCAAACAGGCTCCTGCTCAGTGTAGACCGTCTCTCACCACGGTACGAAAAATAAGAAGCAAATTACGGGTGTTAGGTTATTATATACGGACAGACTGTAAAAGGGCAGAGTCTTCAAGGGAACAATTCCGTCTCTATTCTCAGACTCACGTAAGGGCCCAAATACAGATGCTAGGAGAAAGCCTACTGAAAAACCAGAGGTCGACACTGAGCACTGAGATTAACAGTCTGGTCAAGGCAGAAAACAAAATGAAGCACCTTTGTTTTTACTCCATTCCACCCAATACATTTCTTTAATACTGGTACCCAAGAGACTGTAGTTAATGTGGCAAATTTTGCATATCTCCTGAAGCATGTCGATGTAATATTAAATGATTCACAAGAGCTACAAGAATTATGTGAAGACCTACACCTTAATACCTACCTAACATAAGAAAACAGGAACACTTACACACTGGTGTTAGGGCTGCAAGTTTATAAAAAAAATCTTTTTTTTTTTTTTTAAACGTTTATTTATTTTTGAGACACAGAGAGACAGAGCATGAACAGGGGAGGGGCAGAGAGAGAGGGAGACACAGAATCTGAAACAGGCCCCAGGCTCTGAGCAGTCAGCACAGAGCCCGACGCGGGGCTCAAAATCATGGACCGTGAGATCATGACCTGAGCTGAAGTCGGATGTTTAACCGACCGAGCCACCCAGGCGCCCCCAAAAAATCCTTTTTGGAAGACAATTTAAGACAGTAAAAATTTAAGGTGCATACCTATGGACTAATTCTATTTGTACAAATACATATTTGTATAAGGGTACAAGGATACTCATTACAACAGACATGTTAGCAAAAACCTGGTAGCAATCTAAATATTCACCTTAAGTCTGAACAAACTATAATACAGCCACACAATGGAATATCATATAGACATTAAAAAGAATGCAATGGACAGAAT